CTCCCCCTCCCTCTCCAATCCAAAGAGCAGTCAGGGTTCCCTGCTCTGTGGAAAGTCCAAGGTCCTCCCCCCTCCGTCCATGTCTAGGAAGGTGAACATCCAAACTGGCTAGGCCTCTTAAGAGCATCCTTTGACGATGATTTGACCCACTGTATTTAATGTGTCCACATTTGCCTTCTTGTAGTCTTGTTTCGTTTAATAAGTATTTTTGGATATTTGCATGTATAAGCGTGTCTCCTTCAGGGAACCGGGCCACCTGTTTGTGGTAACACAGTACTATGGGCAGTGGTAACCTTCTCTCATGACTGCTGCCCCACTGTGGAGACCTCTACATGTTATCAGTCTTCACGTGCATCAGCTCCTGGTCCCCTGGACTCCTTGTGCTCTCCCTGGGTCCCTTGTCCTCCCCCCATCTGCAGACCTCCGTGATCCTCACCTGTTGACATGGCTCTTCTCGTCTTCTCTTTTTGTACCTTTAGGAGAAGACTTCCTTTTCATAAGTCAGCCTTTGCATAAGATCTTTCTCACTTAAACCTGCTTCTTTATCCGCTGGGGCGCAGCTGTCTCAACTCCCATTTCTGCTTTTGTGAGCCTGACCAGATCACCTAACCTTTGCAAGCCTTCATCTCCCTATTAGCGCAATCTTGTCTTTCCATTGTGTTCTTTTGGACTAAACACACAGAGCTACAAGTTCAGTACCTGGCGCATGGTTATAAATGTTTCTCCTTTCTCCCTGGCTTTGGCTCCTCCCTCTCTCCCATCAAAGCCCCTTGCTTGCACCCCCTTCCGCAGCTGTTGTCCGTGCACACGGCTGTGTCTCAGTGGGGAGGTGATTCGGGCGTGTTTCCAAGGCCAGGCCTGTGGTTAGTCTATCTAACAGTAGCTGTGGCTTTATAGCAAAGGGGTTGGGAGACGCGAATGAGTTGCACGAAGCTGAAAGTGGATTTTCTCTTGCAGCTTCTCTTGGAGTGTTCTGGCTGTGGACGAAGCTCATAGATTGAAAAACCAGAGCTCCCTGCTGCACAGAACACTTTCAGAGGTAAGTCCGCAGGATAGCCTGGGCTTTCGTCTAACTGCCTGCTGTTGGAGATAATCTTTACAGAGTGGTTTTAGTTTTACAACAGACTTGAGCAGAAGGTACAGAGAGGCCCCTTGTCCCCACTATATCTTCCTCGTTGACCAGCACCCATCAGAGCAGTGAATTTGTCACAGGTGTCGGAACAGTGTCGACATTGTCGCTCAGAAGCCGTAACTGACAGATTCACTTTTGATGCTGTAGATGCTGCTTGGTTGGGAGAAATACGTAATGACGTCTGCCCACCACTGCGGTGTCACGTGTGGTGATTTCACCGCCCTGACAGTGCTCAGGAGCCCCTCTTACTAATCCCTCCCCCTAAAAAACGTTAGCCAGGGCAGTGGTGCACGCATGTAATCCCTGTACCCAGGTGGCGGAGGAGGCTGCGCAGTCAGAGCCTTTTACATGATACTTTAGGCCTGAATAGCGGAGACTTAATTGAAACTTTTTTTTTTTTTAGTGAGATTGCTGCAGGGCTAAGTGAACATTCATGGGGGGCCACCAGAAAGTATGTACTGTCTTTGGTCTTATCCTTCGTAAGATAATGGTTGTTAAAATCTGGTTATCAAATGCGACCCCACCCCAGTAAAGTGCATTGTACTTTTGGAAATGTTTCAGCTTCCTTCGGATTGTCTTGGACCTCTTTACACAGATAACCTCACTATAGCTCCGTGTGGTAGCTGATAGATTGGGCATGTCGTGCCCCTCCCCAGTTCACCTGTGCAGAGAGTGTCTCCGTCATCCTCTGTGGTCTTTGTCTCTTATAAATATGATATGTTGTCCTCATCCTCTCTTGGCCTCTCCCACTGTTCTGAAAACATGGGAATGATTTGCTGTTTTTTTGTTTGTTCTGTTTTGGGTTGTTTTTCCTAAGATACGGTAAGTGGGCTGTCTTCCTCCTGTTTGAAAGGCTTCTTCATTCACGAGACTGCACATCAGTTTTGTGGTGATTAAGTTTGGTCCCATCCCATAATAAATCCCTTACATCTAGAGGGCATTTGAAAGGAGACCCTTGATCTGAGTTCTGTAGTTCCTGGCCTGGAAGTTGCAGCTTTGGGAGTTTGAAGGCAGGTACATTCTCTGTAGATTCCTGAGCCCTCGTAGGGCATCCTCTTGTTTTTTGGTGCCATCACCTTCTCTTCGGAACCCTTACTGGTATCTCCTTCCCAGGAGGTGTGTATATTACTCCACTGGTGCTACTTTAGGGAAATACCACAGGCTGGGTCATAATGAACAGATGTTTGTTAACGTCAGCTCTGAAGGCTGGATACCAGGTCAAGGTTGTAGGGACTGTGTGGTGGCAGAAGGGCAAGAGAAAGAAGAGAAAGCTCGCTCATTGAGTCTTTTAAAAGGCCTTTGATCCCCCTCAAAAGGAACTCCTATGCCCTCATTACCTCTTGGAGGAACACCTCCTGATACTCGGCCTGTTGGCAGCACCTGTGCTTTGGAGGGAGCACATTCAAGCCATAGCAGTGGTCATATCTAGGTATCTCTCCTTGTAAGAGAGTTCTTAATAAACTCATATGCAAACTACTGATGTACATTGAGAGGAGAAACGGATACTGTAAAGGGACCCTAGGCTTGTGGGTTTGAAACAGGGAGCCCGAGTTTTATAACCATCTTCAGAGCCTGCGCGTATTTTTCATCAGGAAACCCAGGCTCAGAGGATGGAGCAAGGAGACTGCTATGGACAGGTCAGCATCCCTTTCTAGGCAGTTTGGAGTGCAGATCACTAGCATTTATTTAGGTGGGCGGTGGTGGCGCAGGTCTTTAATCCCGGCACCTGGAAGGCAGAGGCAGGTGGATCTCTGTGCATTTGAGGCCAGCCTAGTCTACAGAGTGAGTTCCAGGACAGTGAGACATGCCTCTCCTCCCCAGTCCCAAAAGAAAGCAAAAAGTCCAACAATCAAACAAAACTATTTATTTTTGGACTGCACAGTGGTAAGGGGGATTTTTTCTGTTTTTCCCCTTAATATTGTTTATGAAAGTTGAAAGTGACCTAAATATGAAAATGGAGAGTCGGTGTTGGGATTTATGTTTCATACCCACAGTGCATTTACAACCAAAGCCGCCATAAAAAGTTATGTGGAAGAATGTTTAATTTTAATAAGGAATGTGCTTATACAATATTTTATACACGGAACTTATAAAGTACTATAAAGACAGATTGTCTCTGATTTTTTTTCAACTCTTAAGTTTTGATGCCAAACTTTGAATCAGAAACTCAACTCATATCCTAGGAAAGCTAAATATTGTGACTAGTAGTCACCTTTGTAGCCTTCTGATGGAGGAAGGTCATTGGTAATAAACAAACTGCCTTGGCCCATTTTGATAGGCCATCCCTTAGGTGGGTGGAGTAGGCAGAACAGAATGCTGGGAGGAAGAGGACTTGAGCTCAGAGGCCATGCTCCCCTCTCCCGGGCAGATGCACGCAATGACTGCCAGGTCAGACATGCTGAATCTTTCCCGGTAAGACCGGTGCTACACAGTTTATTAGAGATGGGTTGATTGGGATATCAGAATTAGCCAGTAAGGGCTAGAGCTAATGGGTCAAGCAGTGTTTAATTGAATATAGTTTGTGTGTTGTTATTTCGGGGCATAAGCTAGCTGGCTGCCGGGGTGCTGGGGACGCAGCCCCGCTGCTCCTATTACAACAGCCTTCTGTTCTTTGACCACCTCAGCTCTTCTCTGAAATACACTTGAAAGATTCTGGTTACTGAGCTAAAAGGACTCAGTCCATGTAGTTGAAACACTTCAGAAACATTGTCCAGCAGGCAGAGCAGGCACAAATGGGTAGATAATGAATGAGCATTTCAGGAGGAGCAAAAGGAGATGGCTGGAACTGTTGCAATCAGTTTCATCGGTTGTATCACATTGCCCTTTTGGCCTGCAAAAGCAGTGTGTTGTCTAATGATCCCAGCCAAAAGATAAGCAAAGACACTGCACCACTCCTGCATTAGAGCTCCAGTATGTCCTCTGTATTTTTTATCTAAAATAACATACATATGTGGCATATGGCTCTCCTATTTTGTTAAATTAATTTTGATGGTTATTGTTATGTCAGTTCAGAGGTTGATCATCCTTGATCTAATTTTTTAAAAAGATTTTTTAATTTTTTTAATTTATTATTTATACGATATTCTGTCTGTGTGTATGCCTGCAGGCCAGAAGAGGGCACCAGACCTCATTACAGATGGTTGTGAGCCACCATGTGGTTGCTGGGAATTGACCTCAGGACCTTTGGAAGAGCAGGTGGTGCTCTTAGCTGCTGAGCCATCTTTCCAGCCCCTCCTTGATCTAATTAATCTCTCTTTCTTAAGTCAGGGTTTCTTTATGTATCCCAGGCTATCCTAGAACTTGCTCAATAGACTAGGCTATCCTCAAACTCAGAAATATGACTGCCTCTTTCTCCTGAGTGCTGCGATTAAAGGCATGCGCCAACACCTAGATCTAATATCTCTTGTTAATGTTGTTCTTTTTTTTTATTTTTTTTGAGCAAAGCAAAAAGACTAAGGAAAATGAGAAAGAACTCCCAAGAGTACGAGGTGTCTCAAGGGAGGAGTAATCTGTTGTTCCTGTTCTCCTTAACTTTTAAATTTCATTACTAAGTACTAGTATATAATCACTGATAAAGGAAATTCCTTATTTGTAACATGAAGGGCCGGCTTGGCTTGTTGGGGTTTCTGTCCTACCCAGTACCCCACAGCCGGCAAGCCCCAAAGAAAATCACACAGAGATCTCCATAAGTTATAAAACTGATTGGCCCATTAGCTCAGGTTACTTATTAGCTCATGTAGCTTATATTCTGATCTATGTTAGCCATGTGGCTCAGTACCTTTCACAGCGGGGCAGATCACATGTTGCTTCTTTGGAGTCTGGGCAGGAGTGGAAGGAATGGGGAATGGGCTTCCTCCTTTCCAGAATTCTCCTGTTCTCATTGCCCCACCTCTACTTCCTGTATGGTTGACCCGCCTATACTTCCTGCCTGGCCAATCAGTGTTTTATTAAAATACATGATTGACAGAATACAGACAATTCTCCTGTACCACTTAATTTTGGTTTTCTCATTTGTTTCTGAAAGTTTAAAGAAGTCTCTTCTGTTTGGAGCTGTCATGTGGCACAGAGTCCAGAAGCATCCAGAAGTCTTGGTACGCCATCAAGTTTTGCAAAAGGCGCTGTTTTAGTATTGATCTTGCTCTTTACCTGTAGTGGAGTGTTAACGTTTTCCTTCCTCAGCTCCATGTGCAGAGGGGCTTGGTGTGTTAGCTTTTTTCTTCCTCAGCTCCATGTGTACATATGTCCTTGTCTCAGTTGCTGTGGTAAGCTCCCCCATGTGGGGTGCATCTTGTAATTTAACTTTTCAAGGTTGAGTGGCTGGAATGGACTGACAGCTCTGTAACACTTGCTCGGGAAGGGATATGACCTGCATCCTTACAGCACTGTCTTCTTGTAGGACCATTTTCTGCTCCTCACAGCTGAACCCAGAGTCGTTTCCTTCATCAAGTAAAACATATACCTGCACCCGAGCCTCCTGGTGTTCTGTGCTGTGACCATGTTGCTCTTCGTTGGGCAACCCTGTCTTTCCTCCTGCCGTGGCAGACTTCTGATCTTGTTGGTCTGTGTTTAAGTTCTCAGTGGTCTTCCGCCTCCTGCTCACCGGAACGCCCATCCAGAACAGCCTCCAGGAGCTCTACTCCCTCCTCAGTGTCGTGGAGCCCGATCTCTTCTGCAGGGAGCAGGTAGAAGACTTTGTTCAGCGGTACCAGGACATTGAGAAAGAGTCCAAATCAGGCAGGTTCCTCTCTTCCTGATCATCCCCAGGAGGGCGTGTCACAGAAACTGCCTTCGCGTCTAACAGATATAGATAGAAGAGATGACCAGAGACCAGGGAGCTAAGGAGCCAGAAGCCAAAGGTCCAGTGCTAGGTGCCTCGTTGGCTTCGCTTGTCTGCCTGTGTTCAGCTGTCTGGACTCATAGTTCATTCTGGAAGAGGAAGGAGGGTGCTTACTACAGACCCTGCTGTCAGTGTTCTGCGGCATGGGTGCCTCTTTTAAATTGTGCACCAAAGCCAAGAGTTTAACAGAGATGGGATGGAGACGTGTGTGTGTGTGTGTTTGTGTGTGTGTGTGTGTGTGTGTGTGTGTGTGTGTGTGGCGGGTGGGGAGGACTTCATCATCCTTTATGGCGGTGGCAGCTTTCTCTTGTACTTTTGCCCCTCTGTCTCACAGAATTATCTGAATATCTGGATATCTCTGATATTACCCTAGGATGCTTATACAGTGTTTTTATTTTGTATGTATTGGGTAAGAATGAGTTGGAACAAGTTTCCCAGTAGAATACCCTAGGCTAAAGATTTCTCCCCCAGAACTCCCATGGTTAGAGTTTCCAGGTAAGTTTCAGATATCCAGTCAAAAATTACATGAACATACTGTGTTACAATATTGTTTGTTGTTACGTACAATTCCAGTTCAGCCGGCTACTTGTCCTGCGTGTTTTATTTTCTGTATCTGGCAGTCTTAACATGGAGTGTAATTCTGATTTAGGATGGTTTTAGAAGTTCCATATACCTGGTGAGGGAACAAGCGATTTGACGTCAAAAGAACCAAATTTGAATGCTGACAACCTTGGTGGTCAGCTCTGTGGCTTGTGTCCAAGGCTTGGCTCGTGCGCTGCACCTGACTCTGCTATTGCAATGGGCAGTTACACCTTTCTAAGCCGCATTGCTGAGCAATAAGAATAAATGCAAAGTCACCCTGGGAATAGGAGAGCCTCCGAGAAACAGGACTGTTAGTAAGAGGGGAGTTCGTAAGTGTCGCCAGTTCCTGGGTTCAGAGCTGTGACAGGTGGAGAGGGAAGGACAGACAGCGCCCCACTTGTGCCGTGACTTGGCTGTTTTATGCTGTAGAGAACTGCACATTCAGAGAAAATGTGTGTGAACTTTGACCTGCTCTTGACACCTAGCGTTTGCACAGTTATGAGGTGCAGTGCAGTGTTTCCAATTGAGTCTTAATTGCATTGGTAGTGATCAGCTCAGGTAGTTGGCATATCGTCAGTTGAACTTTTATCATTTCTTGGCGATGAGCGCTTTCAAATGCTTTTTCTCTACCAGAGCACACTGCAAATGTGCATTTAGTTGTCAAAGAAGAAAATCAGTAAAGGCTTATTTTGAGCTATACAGCACAGGATTATTATTAAATATATATGTATATGTAAGTGCTCAGTATTGGTAGTTGTTAGGGAAATGTGAATCAAAGCCATAGTGAGGACTGTAAGTTGGACTCTGGGTAGAATCACTCACTGCTCTTTCAGAAGATCTGGGTTGGGTTCCCAGCACCTACATGGCAGCTTGCAACATCTATAGCTCCCATTCCAGGGAAACCTGCTGCCCTCATCCAACCTCTGTACGTATTTCACACACGGTGTCATTATAGACACGCCAGCAAAACACTAATACACATAATAGTAAATAAATGCATGTAAAAATATAAAAAAGACAATGAGATACTATTCACCCCAGTGGGGTGGCTATTATTTAAAAGACCCCTCCCCCAAAACCCCTACAAATGCCAGTAAGGATGCGGAGAAAGGGAACCCCACTGATGATGGGGTGAATATAAGCTAGTGTAAACAATACAGTACCAAGATACCTCAGAAACCTAAAAATGCAACTGCCATTCAGTATAGCAGCCCAAATTGGGTCCAGAGGAAATTAAACCATACCCACATCACTCTCTTCATAGTAGCCAAGGCAGAACTAACTGTCCACCATAGATGACTAGATAAAGATCACAAGGCACAGAGCTGTAGGATACTGCCTAGCGGTTAAAGCCCTTCAAGGTTCTTTCCTTGGGGGAGGTGATGTAAGATTGCCTCTTGTCCAGCTGGGCGGCATCAGCACTCACAGGTTTCCAGGCAGCCATGAGAGTGAGACTTGACAGTGCCCTGTGCTGCCAGACCCAGACCATTCCCCCTCTCTCTCTCTCTCTCTCTCTCTCTCTCTCTCTCTCTCTCTCTCTCTCTCTCTATCTCTCGTGTGTGTACTATAGCACATGTGTGGAGGTCAGAGGACAACTTGTGGAAGTCGGTTTTTTCCTCCTACCGTGTAGATTCTAGGGGCCAAGCTCTCTCACCACACGTGACAGCAAACACCTTTGCCCACTGACTGGCTCGCTGGCTCTCAGCACTGTATTTATTTATTTTATTTTAGTAAGTTGGGTTTTTTTTGTCCCACTGAAGACTAGTGAAGTGTTCAGAGCATTTTTAAGGTAGACTAGGATAAACTACAATGTTCGGTAGATTAAGTATATTAAACACACCTTTCAACTAGCAGTATTTTCAACTTGGGATGAATTAGCAGGGACCTGAGCCCTGCTGTGAGTCCAGGAGTGTCTGGAATATGAAAGATCACTGTCCCGACTCAGAATTCAGATTGCTGAATACCTTGATTGCAAACCCCAGTTTTTCTTCTTATGCAGCAAGTGAACTACACAGTCTCTTGCAGCCATTTCTCCTAAGACGAGTGAAAGCCCAGGTAGCCACGGAGCTTCCCAAGAAGACAGAGGTGGTGATATACCATGGCATGTCAGCACTACAGAAGAAGTACTACAAGGCCATCTTGATGAAAGACCTAGGTACAGGGATGCGTCTGTTCGGAAGCCGATGAATGTGGTTTTCATGTAGGAGTGTGCAATAATCAGGCGCTCTCCCCCTCTACAGCAAGGAGGGAGTGGAGATGCTGGGTGATTCTCTGGTCTGCTGCAGTGAGTGCGGCAGTGTCTCAGACACCGTTTCCTCTGGCCCCATTCCCCTTGCTGCCTTGAAGTAAGCACTTCTAAGTGCCCCAGTCCTGCCCTCTATCTTTCCAGCCCATTGGAGACTTAACGAGCTGCAAAATGCTGTTGGCTCAGATTCACTGAGAAGGGAGAGGCAACAGCATGATCTCTTGATTTCCATTTTATAGTTGTCCCTCTATACATTTTATAGTTGTAACAGTTACAGTGGGAAGATCAGATGTCTGAAAAAACTCAAGTTCACTACATCCAACTTATGGTTTATTGTTCCTTCTTAAAACGGCTAAGCAGTTTCACACAGGTGTCCAGTTCAGTCTGAGCAGTTACACAGGGTTTGAGGTGCCCGTGATTAAACGTATGAGGCTCTGGACTTGGGAGGGTGGGTTGTTCTGTAATCCATGTTTCTTGTTGTCTTTACAATTTCAGATGCATTTGAGAATGAGACAGCAAAGAAAGTCAAGCTGCAGAACATCCTCACACAGCTTCGCAAGTGCGTGGACCACCCGTATCTATTCGATGGTGAGAGTCGCGGGGCTCTGTCCTGCCACATTACCACTTTACTTACGGTCCGTGACCCAAACCACTGTGAGGCATGCCCTCCACCCTTGTTCAATCCACTCAGATCATGTTTTTCTTTTCCTTTTCAACTCCAAGTTCCAGTCATAGATCCTGCGTTGTGTTTGCCCCATCTCTTTGTTCTCCCGGAAGGTGGACATGTTCTTAAGGTTTTTTTCACTGACTCATTTTTCTCAATGCATTGACGGTTTTGGAGACTCGAAACCAGTGGCTCTACAGATTGCCATCATGGTTTATCTGAGTGTTTCCTCACAGTTCATGTCTCCTTGTCTTGAGCCCACTCAGTCAGCCCTTCTTCACCACATTATGGTTGTACCGGACATCTCTGTGCTGGTGGTTGTCTAGTGTCATGGTCCAGTCAGTCCCTCAGAGACTGTGGCAAGGGTGTCATTGCTTTCTGAAACACTCTTGGTCTCCATGGAGCACTTCATCTTGCCTGCCTGCCTCAGCTGTCCCCCTGCACTGCCTGTGTCCTACTGATGTCTGCGTTTCTGACCACATCTGTCCCCTGGACTGCCTGTGTCCTACTGACATCGCGTTTCTGACCACATCTGTCCCCCTGCACTGCCCATGTCTTACTGACATTGTGTTTCTGACCATATCCATCCCCCTGCACTGCCCGTGTCCTACTGACGTCCGTGTTTCTAAGTGCCACCTTAGGCCTCCACCTGTAGATTAGATTTTAATTTTCATTTAAGCTGGGACCTTTGTTTAATTTTTTTTCTTTCTTTCCTTTTCTTCCTTCTTTTTTCTCTCTTCAGTTTTTCCTCTCCCTCCCCCTCTCCTCTCTGTTTTGAAGTAGGTCTCACTGTGTAGTTTAGCTTGGCCTGAAGCTTATTCTAAGTCGTGACTAGCCTCAAACTCGTGAATATTCAGTCCGCTTGACTCTGCGTTAGAAGTGCTGTATTAAAGGCCTGAACCAGCACACCCACCAAAGCTGGTAATTTAAAAATATGCTCTTATTGGAAGCCCAGGGACAGTCCTAGGACTTGTGGACACGGAGTCCCTATCGTAGGAAGGCCTAGTGCAGAGGTTAGTTGCAGTCAGGTAGGGTTCCTAATGCTGCCGCTGTTTAAACAATTCACAGACTCTTAATCCAATGCACATTTGGCTTTTGTTTGTTGTAATGGATGGGAACTTGTAGATTTTAAAAGCAGCTCTCAGGTAATGTAATTCTGACCGCTGCCCCATACCTTGGAATGTATATGCCATCTCTGAACTGTTTTTGGTTCACTTCTCTAGAGAGCCTGGACTCTAGTTTAGGTTTCTTGCCTATAACATCAAAGTTGGTTTGCACCTTAGATAAGCTTTTTTTTTTCCTTTGAGGTATTTGTGATTGGTGTGAAGAAGTACTGAGGTTATCATACAAACAGATAATCATAAAATTCCTCAGCCACAGTTGAGCCTCGGCACACCCAGTGTAGGGAGTATGGGGTGCTTTGCCGGCGGCCGACAATCAGCGTTTCTCCTCGGGGAATCTGCTCCAGTGTTGCACGTTAGTGGAAGTGGGTTCTTTCTTCTCTAGGTGTGGAACCAGAGCCCTTCGAAGTTGGAGAGCACCTGATTGAGGCCAGTGGGAAGCTTCATCTACTGGACAGGCTGCTGGCATTTCTCTACTCTGGGTAGGCAGTGGGTTCACACCATTGAAACCCAAGTACTAAAGAATTTCTCGAGAGGTTTTCTTTCTTAATCAACCTTGATTAAGGTTCCCCCTTCTATGGAGGATGCTCCTGGCTCCTGCTATCCCATCCCCCATTTACCCCCCCCCCCATGGTCATCCTTTTGTTTGGATTCCTATAGCTGTCAGGATCCTAATCCAGTCAGTGTCCTCCTCTGATGTGCTGTCTGACTCATCAATGTTTGGCCACCTTATCACTCCAACCTTGTCTGTTTCACCAGAACAAAGATGGCGCTGATCTTTCCCTCCACGATTGCCCGTTGGCAGCCTGTGTTGAATCAGTATCTATCATAGGGGCTCAGTTAATATTCCTTCTTGTTAACCTGTGGGTCTTGGTCTAACCTCAAGAGGATCTAAGGGGACATTTTTTCATAGACACTGAATTAGGCAACAAAAGATCTTGTGTAGTAGTGTTTGGCTGATTCCTCCATGAAAAAGGGGGAATCTAGACAAACCCCAGATTCTTGAGGATTTCAGTTCATCCCTTTCAGACCCGTCCCAGATATGGCCTGAGATTTAGCAAAATTGCCCACTAGGAATATGCAGGATTAATAATTGCATCTTAAATGATTATATGCCATGCGGTATCTTATTAGTTAGAGTCAATAAAGTATATCTATTTGTTGTACCCAAGGAATTTCTGAATTCTTTATGCCTGATTTTTTTCTTTTCATGGACCCAGAAAGGTTATATGTCCAAGGTCATTACATGGCAGAGGTGAGATTAGAACCCCCTTTCCTTCACACACACACATGCACACATTTGGGGCTGAGTCTTCCAGGAGTTCTCTTTAACTGTTGCTCTGAAGCACACAGAGACCAGGTTAATTCTCTCGGCAAGAATTTTGTTTTGATGGCATTGTGCTTTATTCATGATGTTTTAAAGTCATGCCCAGTTAAAAGGCTTGACTTTGTTCATTCCTTGCCATTGTTCTATTTGTTATTGTTGTTTTGAGATGGTAGCTCACTGTGTAGCTCTAGGTGGCCTGGAACTGTCAAGTGCACACCTTGTAGACCCTGTTGGCCTTGAACTTGAAATGGTCCTGCTGCCTCTGTCTGCCAAATGCTGGGGTTTCAGGCATGAGCAACCACAACCACACCCTTGTTTGTTTTGAGAAGGGGTATAATTTTGATTTTATTTTTTATGCATGTGGGGTGTGCATATGTGTGTGTGTGTGTGTGTGACACACACACAAATTCGGAAGTACATTTATACATACATACGTACATACTGAGGCCAGAGGATAACTTCATGTGTTATCAGAAACACTGTCCACATCCTTTGAGACAAGGGCTGTCAACTGGTCTGTAGCTCGCTCACCAGTTAGGCGAGACTAGCTGTGTAGCAAGCCTAGGGATGCTCCTGTCCCTGCCTCCTAGAGCTGAGATTCTGCTCATGCCACCACACCCACATTTTTTAACGTGGGTTTGAGATCAAGCTCAGGCCCTCATCCTTGTGAGGCAAGCAAACACTGAACTGACTGAGACACACGCCCCAACCCCCCCCCCTCCGCCCTTGACTCCATGAATGTCAGTGTCAATATACCATATATGGGCAGTACCCACAGAGGCCAGAAGAGGGCATTGGATGCCCAGAATTGGAGTTACTGCTAGTTAGGCGCTGCCAGTTAGGTTCTTGGAATGGAACCCGGCACTCTGAACTGCCCAGCCATTTCTCCACCCCTTGCTTCACTCGTAACCTGTCATCTTATGTTGTCCCTTTTCTTCTTTCATCGTGGATCTTGGGAAGTGAGATGCCATTCGTCCCTTTCTAAAGTAATGTGTCTCTGAATTTCCAGCCAAAGTAGCTGTAAATAATAGTAACTTTCTCCCCAAGTAAGATTAGGGATAAGCAGCTGACTGTGGCCATCAAGGTCTTGAGAGGTGTGTGTGTTTTGAATTTTGTATTTTACTCTTTATACGTGTGTATTTATCTTGCTTTTGGCATGAATGCTTGTACTTGAATGCATTGACTTTCAGTGTGTGCTCTGGCCTTTCTGGAGCTTCCCGTAGCCTGTGTGATTGACAAACACCCCTGGGATTTCTCCACTGTAGTTTAAGAACTGCCACTTTGAAAGGGACAGCGCCAGGTTTACTTGCATTCTTTACATAAAATACTTACGAGTTTCTGAGGAAGTCTTTAAATTACATTTCTACTTTAGTATTTCATTTATTTATAAACTTGGATTCTTTTTTTTTTTTCAAAAGAATTTTGCTTGAGGGAAATATACCTTAAATATTTCCAGAATTGTCACTCTCTCCTTTCTTTCCTTACCAGGGGCCATCGGGTTTTACTTTTCTCCCAGATGACCCACATGTTGGATATTCTGCAAGACTACATGGATTACAGAGGTGACTCCCCTTGTGCACCACAGCTCCTGAATCATTTGTAGCTATACCAGTCACATATGTAACATATGTGATAGTCATATGAGGTGTGGCGATTACAGAGGAAAAGTATACCACAACATGATTCAGGGTCAAAAGAAGACGAGACATGGATAGTGGAGTGAAAACTGGCAGCGTGGAGAGATGTGTGGGCAGACACAAGCAGCCACATTCCCACTGGCTATGAGGTTTCTGATGATGGCACTGGGGCAAATGCCATGGAAACGTTATCTGTATGACAGACACATTTCAATGTCAAGAACTTTCCAATCATGAAACATTTACCTCAGCAGCCGAGTCCTTGCTCAGACTCGCTGGACAGATGCAAGTGTAGAAGACCCACAATCAAATGGCAGAGAGGCGGGGCCGGTCGAAAACCCACAATCAAATGGGAGAGAGGCTGGCCCGGTCGTTTCCATTAACAATAAGGAGTGGGGTTATTACCTGAGCACTTTGCTTAATATGCCATACAGTGCATGTGAGATATTGGAAAAACCTGTGCCTTTGGTTGCTCTCAAGGCCCCTGGAGACATGACAGCTCCAGACCGTGTGGTGTAAGTTAGTCCAGACTGGGCCTCAGAGCTATACTTAATGCTCCTCAAATGCTGTGGGAAACCTAGGCCAGGGCTCCCTTGCAGGGCTCTCGGAGCACAAGAAGAGCTCAAGTTGAGAGCTCTCTTTGGGTCTGGAGCATGTTGACAGGCGGGAGACCCTCCAGCTCCAGAGAAAGGCAAACACTGGGCCACCAGACACCCTCCTCACTGGCTCCCGTACTTCTGATTGCTTCTCATCGAGTGCAGTTTGCCATGGAGCCGGCTTTCAGGCTTGCCCGGGAATGGTTCAAAACCACATACTAAGCACCACTTCAGCTGCACTTAAGAGTAACAATGTGTTTGTGTTAATGCGTTCTTTTGTAAAATGATAGCATTGCCCCCCTATAAGTTTAGACTTTTCCCCCATGGAAATTATTAGAAGTGGGGGATCCTGCCTGTTTATGAAAAGGGTAAAGCTGATGTCTGCTTTTGGACTGACTAATTTTTTCCCCCAGAATCCTTGAAAAAGAATTAAGGTTGTCCATTTTCTCCCCTCTTCAAGGCTACAGCTATGAGCGTGTGGATGGCTCCGTGAGAGGAGAAGAGAGGCACCTGGCCATTAAGAACTTTGGGAAACAGCCCATTTTTGTTTTTCTGCTGAGTACCCGGGCAGGTAGGCCACATGGGTTCTGATGAAAGCAGGCGACGATCCGGGAGAACGTCTACACCCCGACCATTAGTGCGTTTCCCTAATTCTCTAAAAGACAAGGTTATCAGCAAGGAGTTAAAAGGAGGTGATTGAGGCCATCGCCATGGTTGGTTAAGAGGCTGGACTTCCGAAAGCGTGGTGACCGTTTTATGGCTCCTTCCTAAGCTACCTTCTCATCAAGGAAACTTCAGCTGAAGTCTTGAGTTCTTAGAAACGATCCTAACCTGCTTTGGCTCCTGGCCTGCAATGTCCGGAGAGAGTTCCATAGGAAGTTTTATTTATACTTAGGGAGTGCAGCTCTTCCCCCAACTGTGATTTGGGGGATGAAATAGCTTCTCTGCTAGTTTACCTTCCTCCAGAAACACTTCTCTAACCCAGCACACGCTTAGTGAGTATTTAATTGCTTCAAAATGTGATTATAGTAAAATTGCCAGCTACTTAGAGTTTGACAATGTCTATATATAACTTCAGTCATAAATATTATCTCACATTTGGGATATGTTATTAAGAGGGTGATTTGTTTTATGCATTATTAAACAATTTGACATTAGCTTCTGGAAACCTTTCTTTTTTTTTTTTAGATTCTGAATCATCCTTAAATCACTTTTTAACCCATTGGCTAGTCTTATTAATTTATTTCTTTAAGAAAACTTTTAATTTATGTGCATATGCCTGTTTTGTTTCTATTTGTAACATAAACATGCAGGTGTCCTTGGAGGCAAGAAGAGGGTATCTAATCTCCTGGATAGAGTTGTAGGCCATTGTAAACCACTAGATAGGGGTTTTGGGAACCAAATCCACGTTCTCATGCTTTTACCCACCTCTCCAGTTCCTCATTATCTTATTTCTTATATATTGAAATCCTCCTGAAGCAGACAGGGTGAATACAGAGATGTGTGTTCCTCTATTAAGGAGAGATCAGCATCTCCGTGGAAAGGGTTCTGTCTTATTAGGAAGCATTCACCGAGTGATTAGTGTGATAAGGGTGTATAAAAGAAGCTCTAGATGTAATCCTAGGTAAGGGGATTATTCTGCCGGCGGCTGCCTTATCTGTCTAATAAAGATAATAATGCATGATGTAATCAGCCTCCCAGCCCTTCGCTCATGTCATCCTCGGTCTCCTGTAGTCTTAGACAAAGCGTAGGGTCTGGTCAGGTAGCCTCGGAAGAACAGTCAGTTCTATTTGTGATACTTTAAAGATTCCATCATTTCCCGACTCAGAGGACAGTCTTTTGTTTGAAATGTCAAACATTAAGAAGGACGAGCTGTCCGCATTTTAGTTAATTTCCCTGGAGGACCCAGGGCAGACCCTGGAGTAGCAGAAGCACTGGGCACTGCCTTTTCCAGAAGCGCGCTGTTGTGCTCGCCGGCCACTGTGTGTGCCTCAGGTCTGCAGCACTTCGATTTGTTCAGCAATTCGCCCTGTGTTCAAGGGTTTCTGTGAATGAATCATATCGCCACCAGGGGGCAATGATAGCTCATGAATATGTTTCAAGCAGTTTTGAGCAGAGCTTATTAAAAAGATACCACTCATGGGCTTGAGTGTAGCTCACACACGTGCCCGTGTAGCATGTACAAGGTCCTGGGCCCCTTCCCTGGTCCTGCAAAGAAAGTGGGATCACCCTTTGGACAGAGCTGCCTTTCAACATCGTGTGACTCCTAACCACCAGGCCACAAGGGCAGGGTCGGGGTGGGGTGGGGGGTGGGGGATGTTGCAAATTTTTGAAGTGAAACAGGCACCTGGCAGGTGTTAGAGTGTAGTGAACAAACAGGCGCTGGAGCTGGTGTGGTGGAACAGCCTGCCGTACTGGCTGTCAGGAAGAGTAGTGTTAAGGACTGCTCCAGCCCAGCAGTTAGAGGTCAGTCATCCTGGGCCACACAGTAGGACCCTGTCTTGAACAAAAAAAGGAAGGAAGGAAGGAAGGAAGGAAGGAAGGAAGGAAGGAAGGAAGGAAGGAAGGAAGGAAAAGAAAAACTATAACAGCAACCACAAAAGCCCAGGAAATGTAGCTAACAGGTTTAAGAACCAGACATGGACATGGGAGTCTGAACCTTAGCTCCTTTACCTTCTAGCTGTGCAATTTCAAATGAGTGTTTGATGTCTCTGTATTTCCATCTCAGTATCAGCAAAAGAGGTGAAAATGAATAGTTAGCGCCCATTAGTTTGTTGCGTAGGGCATAAGAGTTGATTTTCGTAAAATGCTCAGTTGCTCACTTGCAACTGGCAGGTTAAGCTTAAATGTATTAGCCCTGCTAGGTAACCTAGCCCCGCTCAGTAATCAGTCATTATCAGCTCTTTATTCCAGATTTAATTTTAAATATTTCTGTTTGTCTTGAGAGCCAGCTGGGCGTCAGGAGTCCTTCTGAGAAGTAACCTTTAATTTAAGCTCCTGGAACAAGCCCTGTCAGGCCCCCTTGTTTCTGCAGCGGTCTCTAATGACCCTGGCAAGAACCAGTCCGTTTTGTATTAGTTTTTACATTAATCAAAGAAAAGACTGTAATTTGCCTTCATGGTTCTTTTAATTCCCGAAACCCATGGACGCACCTCTCCCCTTTTTCTGTAGCACCAAAGAAAACCTTGAAAATTGCTGCAGGAGGAGGTGGTTTGGTTTTCTCACGCTGTACCTGGTAGGTGTGGATGCAGTTCCAGGAGCCTGGCTAAGGCTTTCTGCAGAGCAGGGGAGGCAGTCTCCTGTTCTGCCCTTCTCCATCAGCACGTCAGAGATCTTGCCACCTAGCTTGGCCCGCAAGTGTGGGTCAGGGCTCTTCCCTTATAAACGCCCGCACAGATTGTCCCATGCTCACCGTCCTTTTCTGAAGGAGCGTGCACCCTTTTCCTTGTAGACTGTCCTAGGCTAATGTAGTCCAGTGTTTTAGGTCTGGGAGAGCTGAAACTGCTTCACGCTCCTGACTTGAGCATCTTCCTTTGCTGCTTTTCCCTACTTCCCCGTTCTGTTCTGTGTGATGATTACATCCTCCCAAGTCAGGCAGTAGGAGGCTAAGGGAGCAGGTGTGACCGTGCTGGGCTCTGGAGTTGTGGACGAGTGACGTTTGACTGACCAGTTGTTAGGGTTACCCTGTCTGGACCGTCTTTATTCTCCAGATTCCTGTGTGTGTCTTGGGTGACTCTCCCTTGCCTTATTTCCAGGTGGAGTGGGCATGAACTTAACGGCAGCAGACACCGTTATTTTTGTTGACAGTGATTTTAACCCTCAGAATGACCTGCAGGCGGCTGCCAGAGCTCACCGAATTGGCCAGAACAAGTGAGTGGGTTCAGCGTCGGTGATTTCCACTTCCTTGGTTTGCTCGACACTCCTGGATTGGGAAGAAGGGAGGAAGTAGTCCTGGTGACAGCACCAATCAGGAACTGAGAGCCCGGCTTTGCTGTTGGCTCCTGCAGCAGCATTAGTGGGTGGCACCATAGTCCAGACTCGTTTTGTTGAACAAAAAGCCAAATTATGAAGGGGTTAGAAGGTATCTTTAGAAGCTATTTAATTCAGTGAGCTAGGACCCACCTCACAAAACAAAACAAACAAACAGCAGCAGCAACAACAACAACAGCAAAAACCGGTCAACACCAATAAGAAATGAGCTCAGTGGTGTTTTTGTAGATTTGTCTCATATTGCTTTGTTTGGATTTTTTTTTTTTATCTTTTGGTCTTTTGCTTGTATATTATGTTTCCAATCTTGTTTTTTTTTATGAGTTTTATTTGTGTGTGTGTTTCTTCTTTTTTTTTTTTCTGTTTGTTTTATTAAGAGAGAAAGAAGGCCTGGAGTTGGAGGGGTAGGAAGGGCCTGGGAGGAGAAACAGGTCAGAATATATTGTATGAGTTGCCCCTGCCCCTAACACATGGCCACTTGATGTTACCGAAATTTACCAAAAATTATGTGCTTGCCTTGGGCCTAAGGATGACACGTGCCTACAAGGTTTTCCTTGGCACAGATGACACAGTTCAGGTCACCTCCGCATCCTTTCGTCCATATCTGGAAGGCCGGATCCGTCTCTAGCTGTGCTCACCTGGTGCGTCCTTTCCTGGCGTCGCCTGCACTCATCACGCTCTGCTGTCACTTGACTGGCGCACAGGTCTGTCAAAGTCATCCGTCTGATCGGCCGGGACACTGTGGAAGAAATCGTGTACAGGAAGGCAGCCTCCAAACTGCAGCTTACCAACATGGTCATGGAAGGGGGCCATTTCACCCTAGGAGCCGCGAGACCGTCCGCTGAGGCCGACTTCCAGGTTAGAATCTCTTCTTACCCATAGGCTCATCGTGACTCATTCCTGCGTTGGTGCCTGCTATGTGCAGGGGACTGCAGGAGTCAAAAATAGGTACAGATAGGTACAGAGTAAAGGGAACAGGTGCTGTCTGTCTGTCTTGGGTTTAAATCTGAGCCTCATCACTCCATCACTTCAGAGGTCTTTCTTTGCTTAACACAAGGGTTCCATTAGTCATGTCTGAGGATGCTGAAAACAATTAGAGAATTAAAAAACAAACTAAGGTTATCATAACAGTTGATTCTGTACCTCTGTCTTGGTTTCTTTTCTTCTTGCTTTGAAAAATACTAGACAAAATCAACTGGAGAACGGGTGTATTTTAGCACGCAGCTCAAACCCAGCATGTTTGGGAAGTCAGATCCACAGGAGCCTGAAGCAGCTGGTGACATCATATCCACAGTAAAACGGCAGGGAGCCAAGAATGTTTGGGCACAGTTTACTTTCTTCTTTTTACACATTGCAGGATCCACACTCAGGAAGCGGCGTCCCCACTTCCGTGCCCGCCTTCCCATCTCAATCACCCTAGTCAGCGTGAGTTTCTGGTGTGCCTGGAGGCAGGCGTGTGTCCAGATGCTCTCCTCCAGTGTGGGCAGACCCTCATCACAAACTCTTGGCTTTCTTTGGGCTTTGGTACCAAATGCAGAGTCAGTTGCATTGGTTATATATAGCAACATTAAATATAAACGTACCCAGATGTTGGTGCTTCAGTGAGCTATGTAAGGAGTTTTGACACCGTTAACAGCCTACCTTAAAGGTTTCCAAGTTCTGAAGGTAGTATATCTAAAGTCCAATCCAAAAGAGCAAGATGCAAGTGAACCTGAGCTATTGTGTGAGCATTTGCAGGGTTGGGAGCTGCAGGTGAGCCCTAAGATGCCACCTGAGCCTTCTGTGCCTCCCATCATCACAACTAGTGGATGAGAGGCTCAGGGAGCAGCGGAAGTCTCTGGGGAGTGCTGGTCTTTGCCAGAGTGGTGTCCACGGAACGCTGCGGTGGGAAAGCAGATTGCCAGAGGAGCCAGCCAGTGCTGGGATCAAGAGGCTTAGCTGAGAGAGTTGGGAAACAGCTGAGTCTGACTGCTCCTGCTGCTCCTGGAAAGCCTGTGATGATGAGTTGGTGAGAAGTGCTATAGGAAATACTTGAAATTACCATTACTCTTAGCAAAAAAATAAAAATAAAAATCAGACACTTATCCGTATTGTATTGTTGCTGAGATTGTCAGAGTCAATAACTGTGATCATCCTTTATCCCCATCTGCTTAGCCATCATTCTGCTGTTAAAAGCTTGCTTGCTGTCAGCTGTGATGGACAGCAAATACTGGGTGTCCGTCAGAGAAGGAACGTCTGAGCCATTAGCAAGTCTCCCACATCACCATGTTTTTTTTTTTTTTTCTTCATCAGAACTAACTGGACTTTTGTTTTCTCCATTCAAGTTAAGTGAGATACTTAAATTCGGCTTGGATAAACTGCTGTCCTCTGAGGGGAGCAGTGTGGATGAAGTAGACTTGGAATCCATCCTGGGAGAAACCAGAGATGGGCAGTGGGTCCCTGATGCTTTGCCTGCCGCAGCCTAAGGAGGAAACAGAGAACAAGAGGAAGGAAGTGAGTTGGGAACCAGATCTTACAGTCTGTCATGCATTTTGGGTTGATTTTTTTTTGTGCAGGGGGAGCAATGTGGGTCTCATTCTGCTACCCGTGGGAATCTGTTTTCCCAGCACTCTTCATTAAACAGACTGGTTTTATTTTTTCTTTTTTTGCCCAAAGTGTGTTTTTGACCTTTGTCAGAATCAGGTACCTTTAACTGTTCGGGCTACTTTCTGGGACGTCTTTTGTGTTCTGTGCTTCCACACATGTGCCATGTTGATTTGTATCTATGGCTCTGCAGTATGGTTTGAATTTGAATATTTTGACACCTTTGGCATCTTTTCTGCTATGCTAAGGGTTGCGTTAGCTATCTGGGGTCTGTATGCTTCCATATAAGTCAGAAATGCCGTTGGAATTTTGATGGGATTTTAGTGGACACATTAATTGCTAATGTAGCCATTTTTACAATATTAATTCTTCCAGTCCATGATCATAAGAGGTCTCCCTCCATCTTGAATTTCATTCCTTAGTGTCGATACGATTCATTATAGAAGTCGTTCACCTTTCTGTTGGATTTGTCTTCCTGGTTTCCATGCATTTGTGTGGTTTATTTTTCTAGCTGTTGAGTTCTATCTTTATCATACTGTGCTATGATCTGATAAGACACAAGGTATTATTTCTGTTCCTTTGCATCTGGGAAGATTTGATTCGTGAACTGGGTGTAGTGGTGTATATATCTTTAATCCCAGCACTTGGAAGGCAGAAGCAGGTGGATTTCTGAGTTAGAGGTCCGCCTGGGCTATGTAGCAAGACCTTGTCGCAAACAAGCTGGGAGATTTGATGTATGGCCTGGGATATGTCTGTTTTAGAGATTGCCCCCTGGGCTGCTGAGACATGTGTACCCTGTTCCTGTCGGATGGAGTATTCCATGTGTTCTGTGGAATAGTTTAACTCTGAGGTGTCCGTTGTTTTTCTCGTTTGGATGACCTCTCTCGAGATGCGAGTGGGTTAATATCTGACCTTTTATGTCGGGCTGTATTTGTTTTACTAATTTGGGAGCCCCAATATATAATATATATAATATGTAGTGACCTTCTTTCCTCACTAATCTTGGTATGGGGTCATCTTTAATTGGATATGAAAATGCCCATAGCACCTTGCTTTCAGTTTGTTTCCCTGACCGATGCCTTGTATACTTTGATTCTTAGATTGTTGTTGTCTACCAGCCTAGTGTATTTCTTGGAGACAATGAATAGTTAATTTTTTAAATTTTAATTTATTTGCCAGCTAGCTAATCTGTGGTTCATTTGTTGAGTTCATTTGCATTTAAGGTTGTTGAGATATTTACTACTGGCTGTTTTGGTTGTTATCTGTTCTTTACTGTGTCTGTTAGTGTTGGGAGTTTACTCGATTACTGTGTTGGGCATGATGGATTCCTTTCTAGTTCTCCCTTCTTCAGCCGTTCTTCTCAGGACTTTCACTCTTGTCCTTTCATGACTGAGTCTCTCCCTTCCTCCTCTGTGTATAGTATTCCTGTAAGTACCTTCTGCGGTGCCAGATCGGTGGTCATGATCTGCCTTAGTTTGTGCTTGCCTTGAAATGTCCTCCAGCCCTCCTGCACCACATCTGTATGTGTGCATTTGTGTGGTGTTATGTGCATGTGTGTATGTGGGTGTATAGATGCATGCGTGGATGCTAGAAGAAGGTATTTAGTGTCTCCCTGTTTCACCCTCATCCTTATTCCTTCAAGGCAGGGTCTCTCCCTGAACGCGGAGCCCCCTTTTTCGTCTAGGCTGGCAGCCAGCAAGACCCAGCCATTCTCTTCTCTCTGTCCCCAACAGGACTAAGGTTACAGGCATGCCGGGGATCATGCCCAGCTTGCTCATGAGTGCTGGGATCCCAACTTAGATTTCCCATGCTTGAACCTAGTGTTTCTTTTTAAAGGTTTGCTTATTTTTATCTCACGTGTTTGGGTGTGTGTACCACATGCTTGTGGAAGTCAGAAAAGGGCATCGGGAGTTAGAGATGGTTGTGAGCTGCCGTGTGGGTGCTGGAGATCCATCTTGGGTCTTCTGGAAGAACAGCAACTGCTTTTAACCCCAGAGCCATCTCTCCAGCCCCTTATGTAGTGTTTATTGATCTTGTCTGCCATCTTTGATATTCTTTCTGTTTTATTATTTTGGTTCTGCTGTGTTTTTTTTTGATAAATTGAAATTTTCATTTTCAACATTTCTATATTGTTTCCTTTTTCAAAATTTCTTTCCTCATTTTTTTTTTTTTGAGCCATATTGCTGCTTTTCTCATCCGTTAAAGCTTTCCCTCTGTGTTGCTGACTTTTCTCCAGGTCTTGAACGCATCTATTTGTTCTTAGCCTCTTTCAGGTCACAGAAAACCTTTGCGGTCTTGGTCTGGTGTTTGCCTTAGTTCGGTGGCTGAGCTGTGACTGTTAGGAGAGTCAGGTTGCCTTGCTTGCCCATGTCTCTCATTTCTGCGTCCAGATCTCTCAGGCCATACAGCTGAGGATGACCAGTAGTGGCTTCAGAGTTTGATCTGCTAGCTGGCTTCAGAGCTGTCAAAGCCCAGGGTAATCTCAGTTGATGAGCTCTGTCCTGGGCCACCAAGGGCAGGGCTGTCTCTTCCTGTGCATTTCCAAGGCTTGGCCCGTCTTCTGCCACTCACCTGCTTCTGCAGTCAGTGACTGGCCCTCGTGCTGGCCACCGCTGCCCCTCAGGGCCTTCTCTCCTCTGGGTTGTGGCAGGCCACACTGAAACTCCCCCGCCTGGGTCTGTTCCTTGATCTCAGACCTGTGGATTCGTTCCTTTTTGATCAGTAGTCTTAACATGGCATTCAGGCTGCTGCCTTCCAAGTCATACAATGTGACATGGTGGGCTTTCTCTCTGAGGCTACGCTGTTGGCTGGAGGAATCACTGTCTCACCAAAGCCGGCCGTTGGATTTGAGGCTCGTGAAGACTGTGGTCTTGTCCTGAGTGTCTGCTAACTTACCTTCATGAAGAGGTTTCTGCCCTCTCCCACCCCCACTCCCACCTGCTGGGGACCTGCCACACTGAGGCTCCACTGGCCCGCCGTCCTTCGCTCTTCTCTGCTAGGCCTGCACTTCATAAGCTTCCAGAGCTCCTCCTCCCCTATTTCTGTCTTTGGGATAAAGTCTTTCCCCTTCCTGTGACCGCAACAGAGAGGCAGCCTCTAGTCTGCCATCTTACCCCAGAGTGAACAGCTTACCTCTGAGTGTTTTAAAGATTTATTTGTTTTTATTGTATGTGTGTGAGTGTCTTGCCTGCATGTCTGTCTGTGCACCACATGCATGCAGTGCCTGAGGAGGTCACAAGATCCCCTGGAACTGGAGTTAGGGACAGTTGTCAGCTTCTGCGTGGATGTTGGGAACTGAAGAAGGTCCTGCAGTTCTTTAGTGCCGAGCTGTTGCCCCACCCGGAACGGTTTACATTTTAAACCCAGCATATATGATAAACAGTGCAGGTTCTGTTGTGCATTTGACATGTGTGTAGATGTTCCCCTCCCCCCTGGATTTGGTCAATGCTCTGAGGTTTTGAATTTGAAATGTTTGTTTGTGGTCTTGTGTATCCCAGGCTGGCCTCAGATTCACCATGGAAGCTAAGGATCATTGGCTTTGAAATTCTGATCCTCCACATCTGCTGCCAGAGCTGGGATTAGAGGCCTGCGCCACCGTGCTGTTCTGTGGGGCACTGGGAACTAGGTGCAGGGCTTTGTGCTTGCTGGGCAAGTTCTCTGCCAGCTGAGCCACACCCTCAGCCCACTGGAGTGTTTTTGTGTGGAGAATGCGCCCCGTGTCTCATGGCGATTGCCAATGATTGTTTTCCTGTCCCAGCAGCCACAGGAAGTCGGTGATTCTAGCTCACCTGCCTTCTGCCTGAGAAATGGTACATTCTATTTGGGTGGCAGGTCGGCTGGGCACGACATCTGCTTTTGGCATTCACTTTCGTTTATCCAGAAGCGGGTTTCCCATCACCTGCTTACTCTTTCCCTTTGCCCTGTGGTGAGAAGGGGAAAGTTACCCCACATCCCCAGCACAAACACACAGAGCACGGTGTCTTCCAAAATATCTGGCTACATCTTCTTTCTGGTCCTTTCTCTTCCTTAGTAGTCATTGCTCTGGTGCCCCTGTTCTCAGCCCATCCTCACTGCCTGCTTGCCTGTTCAGTGTGCGTCTGGCCTTCTAGTAGTGTGGCATTGGCGCTGACCCTGCTGGTCCGGATGCCCGTTTCTCTGTTCACTTGCAAATGGGAGTTTATAGTATTTCCTGACTCTTCATTTTGTAATAGGCATGGACCGGCGAGATTTTTATGGGATGTGTGGAGAAACCGGAATTCGGGCAGCTGGCCATTTCAGGTGCTCTGACGTCTGCCGTGTTTTATCTTTAAATCCCCGCATGATAGCATCCCATTCATGGTTTTCAAGATGCTTTCCGGCCTCTGTTTTAATTGTATGCTGCTGTCATTTCAGGGGCATAATAGTGCCCCCGATGCTTCTTTGAGAACATTTGTCATACATTTAGAATGAATATTACAGGAAGGGCTTTTGAAAAGATTCCCTGCCCCCAATATTGCTTCTTTTTCTTCCAGGTTTTTTTTTTTTTTTTTTTTGAATCTTTTGTTCTCATTGGTAGTTTTCTAGAAATGCCTGGTGTCCCGAGGCTAACAGGCAGCTCTGCTGTGAGCAGATAGGTGGATAGGTGCTCCCGGGGCCTCACTCCAGCGTTAAGCCTGGTGAGCCAGATTTTGCCCTGAGGGAACCTTCCTATAGACTCCTGTTTGAAGTCTTTAATTGGCCCGTGTCAGACACAAATTCTCCCCTATCGTCCATGGAAAAGTGAGGGGTTGAAATAACCTCAGTGGTTTCAGCTGAAGAGGAGGGTGCAGCAGAGGTTGTGTTTCCAGCATTTGGTGGCGCATATTCTCTCAGGGCTCCGCCTGTGGTGCTCTGCCCTGTGAGTCCCAAGCGTTGGCCAAGAGGGTCTGTTCTCATGGGTAACTTGGCTGAGCACCCGTGCCCGCTCCCATGGCCTCTGTTTATCTGTTGTTCCTCCAGCCACTGTATGTTCTGGGGAGAGTGCTGACCCTTTCCGCGTCCTCTTGCCTCGTGTCTTTCTTAAAACCCCTTTACTGTCATTGAAGGTTTCAGGTGAGGGGGGAGTAGATGCACGTGGCCATATTTTTAAAGTTATATTTGATTACCTTAAATACCAAAGCTTACATCCATTTCTCCACTCACTTAGATTAATTCCAGCTTATTTTTTTTCAACATTTGCCAGAGCAAAATAAAACTGCAATGTTTTCAGAAAGATCATTACACTTCTAAGTCAACCCGACTGCTAAAAAAATTATGTATTTTTAGACAGGCCAACTGCCAGGAAAAAAGAAAAAAAAAATCCCCCATAGGATTAACATTTGGAAACTTGTCTTTGATGAACGGGTCTAGCCTCCCTGTGTGCTAGGTGACTGAACAGACAGGGGTTTTGTGAGTCTAGGGCAGTGATTCTTAACGTTCCTAATGCTGCAGTCCTTCAGTACAGTTCCTCACGTAGTAGTGACCCCCAACCATAAAATTATTTTCATTGCTACATCATAACTGGTTTTGCTACTGTTGTGAATGGTAATGTAAATATCTGATATGGAGGATATCTGATATGCAACCCGTGGGGGTCGCCACCTACAGGTTGAGGACCACGGTGTGGGGTGTGGTTTCAGCCTCTTGGCTGCAGTCTGTGGGTGCACGATTTAAAACAGCATCCATGGGTTTGAAAGACTAGTCATTAGTGCAGCCCCAGTGCAAACCCAAACACGATTGGTTTATCTTGAGTGCCAGGGTTTTTGAAAGGCACATTTCCGTTAGAAGTTAGAATTTCGTGGTGTATGTAGCTACATATGTTGATGGTGTTTTGACACTTCTCAGATCTTTATTTTCTTTTCCACTTGTTGATCGAGTGGCTCATTGGAAGCCCCCTGCTGATTTAATTAGCAAATGCCAATTAGAATTACAGCTGGGTAGAGTTTGGTACAAGTGTGAAGCAATTGATCTCTTGGGAATGAAAATGTTTTGCTTTCATACTCTCCAGGGAAAACATACTTATAGCTGACTTCACAGTGCTCTGAAAACACATTACGTGGTAATGTGTGCTGCTAGGCTCACTTCGGTTTTCGGCCGTTCTCATCTGTTTGTGGCTGCTGACCATGGATGGTTTTCGCTGGATTCCTGGTCTTAACTGTCACCCACCCTCACCGAGCCTTTGTCTAGATGGCCTTAGAAATGTGTGCTGTACCCTGCCAGTCCCGTGCTGGGTGACTCACAGCCGCGTGCAGCTTCAGCTCTGGGGCATGTGACACCCTCTTCTAGCACCCCAGGCCCTGTACTCATTTGTACAGCCCCTCCCACACGGATACACACAATTAAAAATAAAAATAAAATCTTAAGAAACAAAACAGTGAGATCTCACAGAGGCCAGAATCCTCCTTCACCCTTCAGCTGTGGGAGCTGAGGAGCGCCTCCATCCCCGTGCATGCTCGGTTAGCCAGGGTGCAGGGGAGAGGCAGGAAGGTGCAGCGTGGGAGCTTCAGCGCTGTAAATGCAGGGATCATCTGTGATGCTTCATTTTCTCACACTCTGCACCATTTGTTTCTGTAATATAGAAAAGCAGGGAGCGGGCTGAATATTAAATGTGCACTTGGCATTAAGAAGTGGGATTTATTACGGAATCTTCAAGTCAGTGAGATTCATGCTGAGGAGCCGAGTCGGGTGAATGAGTGAGTGGTGGAGATTCAGCAGGGTGAAGGAATTCTCCAGTCATTGGTCATCAAGGATGGACCGACTGGGTTATGAACCATGTTCTGTTCTACGAAAAGAGGAATACAGGACTCCTGTGTAGAACTTGAAGATGTTCATGACATGTAATAGGCTGGTCTTGGCTCATTTTTAGAATACGGGCCTTTTCCTTGTTCACCTGCTTTGAATAGCATTGATCCACTTCCCTGTCTGACATTTCTTTCTTTGGTTTTGTGTTCTTAGAAAACCATATGTACTTGTTTGAAGGTAAAGATTATTCTAAAGAGCCCAGTAAGGAAGACAGAAAGTCGTTTGAACAGCTGGTGAATCTTCAGAAAACTCTTCTAGAGAAAACGAGTCACGGGGGCCGGTCGCTCCGCAATAAAGACAGCGTAAGCGACATTGTTTTTCTATAAAACCATAAACTCTGGGGCCACATTGTTCTCTGTGGATGGGTTGTTAAGAAACAGGAGTGTGTTGACTGAATATAATAAGTGACTGACTTTTGTATAAAAACGGAAGTGTTCTAAAAGCATTGGTCAAGCTGGGGAGGGCTGAGAGATGGCTCACTGCTTAGGAGCCATTACAGTTCTCAGGAGGCCCCAGGTTCCCAGCACCTACATGGCGGCCCACATTCTTGTGTAACCCCAGTTCTGGGGGATCTAACACTGTCTTCTGGACTCCGTAGGCTCCTGCACACACACACACACACACACACACACACACACACACACACACAC